GACTCAGAGAACGGACCCTGATAGTTGCAGGAAAGAGGTGATGAACAAAAATGTTTTAACTGTAAACAAATCTTTCAACGTCAGAAGCCTCAAGTATCCAAGTTTTTTCTTTCTAGCATTTACTTTGGATTCACATACCATTCATATTTACTTAGCATTAACATTGAAGGTTTCATTCACCGTTGTAACATTTTTCTTCATCAACTTGTTCCTGCAACAGTTCCACTGTTCCGACCAAGTCTAAACCAACCTTGTGATACGAAATGTGTTATCTACGGTGCAAATTTTAATTCCTAACCCTAGCTTCCCCCTCAGGAATGGGAAATATTAATACTGTGAGTAATTTACACAATAATATTAATAAGATGTCTTACCCAGACATCATGGCTCCTGTGGAGGAATCGATGCAGGTGCTGGTTGCAGAGGAGGTTGTGGTAAAGGCTGCAGTGGAGGTTGCTGTGCAGGTTGTGGAGCAATTATTTCGGTGGGTGGTCCTACATGCCCACGGCCCCAGCTTGTCCTCCTCCCACGCATTGGAATGTCTGAAAAAGAGAATCCAATAGTTGATCAAAAGATGAATTTTCATAAATAATTTGAAACAATAAAAGCACTTTGGAGGACCAGAAATAACTTCCCAATACTGCCTATTTTTCCTACAGTGAACGACTAATACACTTTCATGTTCTTTACGAAGTTGGAGGCAACTGGAAAATTATCTACTTTAAATAACATAACCTTTCAACTAATTATTTACTTGCTTAGGACACTAATTACTATCAGATGATTGTTATTGATGACAAACCAGAATTATCCTCTTCTTCATCAGAATTGAAGGATGTACAGTTCAAGCATTTTTTACAACCTTCCTTTTCTAAGAAATCCTCAGAAATATCGCGATCCAAAAGTCAACCACAAATTGGGTACTTCCTTGAGAGAGAATATTTTGAAGGAGTGACTGTGCATTCAGTCTCAAGTTGTGTCAACGTCATTTCCCCCTTCATGCTTTTCTATTAGTTACTGCCTTTCCACTGAAGCGCATCCCTTTGTGCCAAAAAAAAACTGCAAAATACACCATGTGATTGGAAATATGAGTTTCTTTCAGTTACTTCCTCATTCATCACCGTGTTATCTACCAAATCTACTACGTATGATCACCAACTCTTCCGTTGTATTTTGAGCCGCTGAGTCCGAAAATGACCTTCATTTTTCCCTGTCACCTCTCAGTTTTCCGGGAAAGCGACTTTTCCCCGGAAAATGAGCTGATTTGAAGTATATTTTTCATGCATGCCATTTATTTGTATAAATTTTCCTGGACCCGTGGTACAGTCATTCTTGTGTGTTTTAAGCCGCTGGATCCGAATATGACCTCAGTTTTTTTCCATCACCCCCGAATTTTTCGGTAATGTCGATCTTTCAGAGCCTAAATTTGAGTATAAGCTTTCCGGGCTCAAAGGGGATAAAAAATGTATTTTAAACATGTCTGCGACGCGTGATACATCGCTTCCTATGTTTTTGACTCGCTAAACCCGAATATGATCTCGGATTTTTCCGATCACCCACGATTTTCCTTAGAAAACTAACTTTCTAGGTGTTTTTTGGACGATTTTCCTGTTGTGAGGAGTCTAATTGTAAGAAATTTTCTGAGATCCTCTCTGGATCTCTCCTGCTATATTAAGAGCAGCTGAATCCAAATTTGACCTCTATTCATCTCTGACAACCCCCCTTTATCTGGAAAGTCAGATTTTTCCGGGAAAAAAGCTTTTCCGAACCGTCCCCACCTCCAAGGAAATTTGAAAAATTTTCCGCATGTGTGATACATCGATTGTTATGTAATTTGAGCTGGAAACCCCGAATTTGACCTCAGAAATTCATTGTCACCCACCATTTTTACGGAAACCTCGATTTTCTGGGAAAATTTTGTAAATATACCAAAAAACACATTCTCCAAGAAAAATCTACTTTTCCGACAAAATGGAGGGTGATAGGAAAAATTGGAGGTCATATTCTGATTCAGCATTTAAAACTACATAGGAATCTCCCCTTCACGGATCCAGGATAATTATTTAAATAAGACTTGCATGCCCGACTGAAAGAAGTCAATTTAACTCAATCTCTCTGCAAAAAGTGTCTTTTTTACAAAACTGAGGGCTCATAGAAAAAAATAGAAGCCATTTCTGGACTCAGGGACTTACAATACCTAATGCATAATCTAATTTGTAGCCAAGAAAAATCTTACGCACATTCCACAAGGTGTAACAGTCGCAAAAACACCGTAAATGGTCAAAAATAACCATTTTTTCCAAAAAATCGAGTTTTCCGTGAAAACGGTGGGTGATAACAAATTTCTGAGGTCAAATTCGGGTTTTCCAGCTCAAATTACATAAGAATCGATGTATCACACATGCAGAAAATTTTTCAAATTTCCCTGGAGGTGGGGACGGTTCGGAAAAGCTTTTTTCCTAGAAAAATCGGACTTTCCAGAAAACGGGGGGTTGTCAGAGATGAATAGAGATCAAATTTGGATTCAGCTGCTCTTAATAGGTACAGCAGGAGGGATCTAGAGAGGATCTCAGAAAATTTCTTAGACTCCTCGCAACAGGAAAATCGTCCGAAAAACACCTAGGTAGAAAGTTAGTTTTCTGAGGAAAATCGATTTTCCAGGAAAATCGTGGGTGATCGGAAAAATCCAAGATCATATTCGGGTTTAGCGAGTCAAAATACATAGGAATCGATGTATCACACGTCGCAGACATGTTAAAAATACATTTTTGATCCCCTTTGAGTCCGGGAAAGCTTATACACAAATTTAGGCTCTGAAAGCTCGACATTACCGAAAAATTCGGGGGTGATGGAAAAAAACTGAGGTCATATTCGGATCCAGCGGCTTAAAACACATAAGAATGACTGTACCACGGGTCCAGGAAAATTTATACAAATAAATGGCATGCATGAAAAATATACTTCAAATTAGCTCATTTTCCGGGGAAAAGTCGCTTTCCCAGAAAACTGAGAGGTGACAGGGAAAAACGAAGGTCACTTTCGGACTCAGCGGCTTAAAATACATCGTAATAGCCGTTTTTCGTACCAGAGAAAAATTTTACCTACATTCTGCAGGGGGTAATAGTCGCAAAAACACCAAAAATGCCCCAAAATGGCCATTTTTCCGGGTAAAATCGTCTTTTACGGAAAACTGGAGGGTGATGGGAAAAAACGGAGGTCATATTCGGATTCAGCGCCTCAAAATACATGGTTATCACCTTATCTCGTCCGGGAGACATTTTTGTAATTTTTTTTTGTTGCACAGCGTATCGAAGCGCCATAAAGTTATGCAAAAAATCGTGATCTTTGACAGGAGTTCGCTTCTCCCCCGGTTTTGCGTTTTTCTTCCCTGACTTTCCTGGTCGCTAGACACCCTGATGAGGGATTCCGTTCTGCGCTCGGCCGCCGCCTGTGACCTGAAAGTTTCAGCCGTACTTTCTCTGCGCTTGTAATTTTAAGTGCCAATATGTTTGGCTCAAAAAATCAAGCAAAAATTAATCTATATCTTGTGGATCTGCTTTTTGTAATTCGAGAAATATTATTTCAGTTATCGTCGAAGGAAAGTGAAATTCTCAGTGGGGACTGGTGGCGCTATCTCTAATCTTGAATTATCCCTAATCGAACCCTGGATTCACCTTAATTGATGATATTCATTAAATCCAACCTCCTTCCTCCTCCAAGAAAAAGTTGGAAAATTTCATATTTCAAAAATCATTTCCTAATGAGTATCAATTAATTTGAAATCCCAATAAGTCTCAAATTTAGAATTACAAATTTAGAGACTTCGGACAGTTGGAAAGGGATAGAGATGGTGGCGCCAGAAAGTAAAAACTTTTTCGTGACCGCACTTAGAACCCTGATACGTCAATCAATATCGTTCCTTCTGTGATTGACTGATTTGGAAGCAATATTATATCAGACTGTACATCCTTCAATGGTTGCTTTCCATCCTTCAGAGAAATTATGGTGTTCTTTGGGTTATTCACCTGTTGTGTTGTATGATTTATAAGAGTTGTTCCATTTTCAGAAATAATCTAGCTCTGATTATTTTCACATTTCCATCACACGAACCTCCCCACATGTCCTCGCCTGGAGGACTTTTTCCCCTCAGATGAGAAGACTTTGTTCCCAGGTGATAAAATCAAACATCAATTCAATTATAGTAAAGGGAGTAAACAACACTTTAATATATAGTGCTACGTTAAAAGTTAACTTCACACTTCATGCACAGTACATGTTTTGGATTTCTTAATGTTTTTGTTTGAGCCACTGTTGGATCGGCAGTTTGATATTGTAGTGAATGGCGTTTACCGCTGAACTTCTACTTCATCATTCGAAATAACATTCCAGAAAATTGACCAAAAAATAAAAAAATGATGAAGGAAAAAACTTTTGAAGGGTCATAAGAACTGACACATCAGTAGCCGTGTGTGTGTGTGAGAAGTCTTAGTTGCACAAAATGCTATCATTTTCATATTCTCACTTGTTGACATTATTCAGCTACAACTTAGAGAAATTCCGCCTCAAGAAAATATGAAAAACCATCTGAAAAATATATAATACAGTACTCACACTTAATATTCGTGTCCAACTGGATCTTTGCATCTTCCAATTTATTACGTTAGAAAACAGACAGAAACCAAGCGAATAACTAACGCACGAACGAAATGTAGCTTCCGATTTATTCAGTTAGTGAAACAGACAGAAACCAAGCGAATAACTCACGCGCGAACGAAAGGTAGACTGTGACTGGTGTCCCGCTGCCACAGCTCTAGGGGACAGTATTCACGATTTTGAATCGATTTTTCGAGAGTAGATTTAGCGAGAATCGATTTATTTCAGTGAATCGAGTGAAAAAAACGATTCGATTTCTTTTGAGTCGATTAATCAATTTTCGATTGAAAAACTGAATCGAGAAGGAAGAAGACCAATATAAGACGAGTTAACACGATTTCTCTACGGCGTGCAAAATGGGAAAATGGAACAGTGATACTGAAATTATTACCAAATTCGACAGCAAAAGTCCACAACCACGTATCTCAGTTTGCGACGTTGCAGATTTTCTGCCATTCTTTCCTTCTTAAAACGGAGACCATTCGAGGGGAATTCTTAAAAACTACAGCCATTTTTCTTCGCTTTGAAAAGAAATGTCTACGGAGACATCAAGGGATGATGGTGATTTTTTACCTTCACAGAAAGCAATACGAGAGGAGATTTGCCATCATCGCAACACAGTAAGCAGATGCATGGTAACAGGCGTAGGGGTGCTTCCAGTTTTCGGTGTGTGTTGCCAGATGCTTTCAGCCAGTCCGCTGACAAAACAAAAGCAATGACTTTGGCCATCCTGAGAATGATTTTGGATGGCGCTTCAGGGCGTAGATCCAAACCAGTACAACCTAAAAACAAACATTAAAACCATTAGTAAAACTACAAAATATGAGACAGTACTTGTAACCCCCACATGGAACTGCGTCATAAAGGTGTCTGAACATTGTGCCGCGTATTCTCTCATCTAAGAGGAGAAGAAAGGGAGCGAATCAAGGTTCCTTTAGAAATCAAAGCAGACATTTATTGCAAATGGTGCTGGAGACAGACAAAAAATGATCCTTATTCACCGAGAAGGAGGCTCATTAATTATCCTGAAGCTTCTACTGTCATCTAAGCAACGCCAACTATTTGATGCTGCAGTTTTTCACTGGTTACTGAAGTTCCAGAGGATACCCCTTTAGATTTAAAATCATCACTTCTCCTTCATTTAGATGATGCATCATGGAGAGACGAATCGAAGAACACTTTTTGTTAGTTCCTCAATTTCCAAGCACTCAGGAGGAGTGAGAGATTTTAGAGACAGGTATCAAAAAGGCACTAACATTGAAATTTAGTTACTCATATGGTGGACTCGATAGCTGGAAATGGGGTAAAGGGAGTCAATGAAAAATTCGAATGATGGGTGAGGAAGGCTTAAAAATTAAGATAATAAATTTTTAAGTTTCTTCACTCATCTTAAGAGTTTTTCTTTGTTATTCCCTACTTGTAGTATTAGCTAGTAGTTATTGCTCTTGCTATTAGCCACTGCCCACCAATTCGGGTATAAACTAAAAACACTTCAAGATGAAAATTTTTAGACGTGAAGAAAATTAATAGCAAATAGACAACAAAAGTTTTGCCTCACATGTTGCATTCCAAAACATTATGAGGGTGTCACGTAGAGGGTCGTGAAAAACAAATTCTCAATATTTCGCCAAACAATCTCACCTCTAATCAACAAAATTGAAGGCAGCATTTTAATTACATTCTAGTCTGACGATCTCTCACCATCACATGGAAAGAGAAGATGTAGAACTGCGCAATGGGTGCGTACCTCATGCCTATGACATTGCCTGAGAGCAACACAGAATCAAGCCCCTGGTCATATACTTAGATCAACTGTTACCCTTCGGACAGTTAATGTTACAATCCCCTGGTGTTACATTGCTTTCCATACCTGGTTTGCACCGTAAGATTCTTCACCTACGATAGTCTTAAAAGGGCATGAAAAAATATTTAGTGACCGTAGAGATAAGTGGTAATACTTACATCTGGCAGATTTCAAATAATTGTGAAACCTGAGAAAAAGATACTGAGAAACTTAGAACTGTCTTGCTATGGAGTCAAGAACAGCGCAGAAGGACTGACAATGAGACACATGGCCAAAATACAAAATCTTCATAAAAGTTCACGAATCGCCTGAACTTCAGTTACATTTCTTGAATTAAAAAGTTTAGTTTAAAATCTAAGAGCATTAATGGTAGCGAGAATTTTTAAAAAACACTTTTCTGAGAGTAGTGTTAAAACCTCAATTTTGAGATTGTGACATATAAATATGTATTCTTTGATATTTGCATTTCCCTCCCTGTCTCTGTCTGGTGTCTGTACTCCTATTGGCGGATCCAGTCACATGACTTGATCCACCAGTGGGAGAGGCGGACACCAGATAGAGAGAGGGACGGTTATGCGAAGACGCCATCTTACTTCACTTCGGTCCTTGTCGTTTTAGCAGGTGCGTACAAGTCTTCGTCACTCCAAAATGTGAGTTTTCTTAGGGGGAAATTACCCTTTTGGGGTGATTTCTTTAGTCATGTCTTCTTCATTTGTGTTCGGGCCGGTCGGCGAGTCTCCCTATCATCCATATATCCGTGTATTCTGATTTTCTTTGCGTGCTTTCCCTGTGCTGCCCCGGCAGCATCGTTACAAGATCTTCAGAGTCTTAACTGGCTCATGACTGGAACAACAGTTCACTTTTTCCCCAAATTTTTTCCAAAACACAGTAATTTCCCTATGATAAGAGCTTGAGTTCGCAATTTTGGATTCTCGTTTCAGAAGGACAGCGATTTCGTTTGTAAACAAGATGTTTTCTTACATTCAACGAAATATCAAAAAATGTTTCTTTATTTCTTTAAATTAACTGCTGACTCTTATCAGTAGAGAAGAATTCAAGCACTTCCAAGGCCTTGAAAAAAAAGTCAGAACCAATCCCTTACGAAGGTAGAACGAATCATGACGATGGGATGCCATGATACTCACTTTAACCAGCATGTGCTTTTCGGTGGGTGTCAGGTACATCTTTGTTTCGAACATGTGCACACACAGATTGACAACATCGGACAGAAGCTCTTTGTAACCGATTATTTTTTCCAAATTCTCTTTCACCGTGTCTCGAATTTTGATCTGTGAAGCGAGAAACATGGATGAATTCTGCGACTCTTGCAGGGTGTGTGAATCTGCCATAACTTTCGAGAACTGGGCGGCACTGAAAAAAGAGGCAATGGTGTAGAGACTTGTCACGATACTTCTGAGCTACAACGGAGGTTTGATATGAATCGGAAGGAAGGGAGAAAACTGTTCGATGTCAAGGACAAAGGACTTAACTCTCCACAATGCAACACAGGGTTGCCACAGAGTTTAGAAAAGGAATTTTCCTGACTAATTTGGGTCAAATTTCTTGACAATTGAAGATATGCCAGATGGCTGAAAGACATAGAACTAGGGAAAGAAAAGAAGAGACAAATGTCACATCCAAAAATTGCACCATTCAACAGATACTTACATGCTAACCAATGGACCCACTGATGATTGATGCATTCAGACCGATGTGACTTTTGACTCTTCTTTTCTTTCCCCAGTCCTAATAAACTCTAATTAAAACGTAAGACTTAATTATTTATTTTCGGACAGCTCTTGCAGAGACTTTTGCGATATTACTTCTGTACCATAATTTTTTAAAAATAATCTCCATTCAAGTACACAGGAGAAAACTTCAAAATGGAGAAATCTTTTACTACTTTACAGACATAAACTTACCGACACTAGGTAGAATAATCATTTTTCACACATGATTTCATGTTTTTCAGTTTATCTAGCACCGCAATCATACTGATAAATTTTCCTAGGGTGAGCAAGTAGGCTCCAGACACAAAATCCTTCCTCTTTTCAGCATGGCACAGCCTTTTTACCTCTGCACAAAATCTTTCAATAGCTTTTCGCTGTGAAAGAAATAATTGGAGTTAAATATAAAATTAATGATCTCACTAAATTGATTTATTCCTTGACAGTAAAAGTTATGTGATTAAAATGTGCACCAAACTTAGAAAACTCTATCACCTACGTTTTTCATGATCAGTATGCGCTGTAGTAACTACCCTCCTGGCCGCCATCAACATTGACAATCAACTGATGATTGTGACCACAGAAGCTGCTGAAATGCGGACTGAGCGTAAAACATGGTTTGTAAGTAGAAAGTAAGACTTTTCTAGATGTCATGTATGGTTTGATAGGAGTAAATAAATTGAGGAATAATCAAAGTAAAGTATGGAGAGAGTGATGGAGTGAAATTCAAATTCATTATTAGGATTTATTAAGTAATTCCAATTTATGAGAAAATCAAAGCACAGAAAGGACACTCTTCAGTTGTAGTGTTTCAGAATCTTCACCAATTTTTCATCCATTATGATCAAGCAAATGTATGTAATTCGCTGAAACTCCGACTGAAAATTCTTCATGATTTTATAATTCTCTAGATGAAAATTTTCAGAAGATTCACACAGTAGTTTCCTCTCTGAAAGCATGAAACTTCCCTCAGGGCAATAGTTCAAAAAAGTAATTATCATTTGGCGAGCGAGAATTTATCATTGTATAATCAATTGAATTCGAACCCTATGGCATAAATCCTAGAAAAAATGAAATTTTCACATGAATATTGGCAAAAATAAGATGGAAGTCAATAGACGGAAAAACTGAATGAAAATCAAAAAGACTAAGACCTTTGACAAGTCTACGGCCAAGACCGTTTTCTTGCTAAATGCGCCAGGTAATTTCAGGCACGGTGACTGGTATTTTGCATGTACTATAACAATTTTCATTGTTTCAATTGTACCAATTCATACTAAATAAATAAAAAATCACACAGTTGTGCAATATAGGCACCATCACCAGTTTTTGCACGGACCTAAAAAGCAGAGGGAAGTAATTTTAGTTGATTAAGTAAATATTTTTATTAAAATTTTTAATATTAAAGACAAAGAAAATTAATTTAATCATTTTATTAGTGTAATTGATATACTTTCGTTTAGTTACTTGTCTTTTAACTATATAACTAGAGACTACAGGGGTCAGGTGGGTAACCTAAACCAAGTTTTAGCACTGTGGCAATTAGTGGAAATTGTGGTTTGAAGCATTCAAATATCCCTTTTTTTCTTGCATGTTTTTCTGGCCCAGCAAGATCAGTTACACATCTTAGACACATTGGTAGAGAACGTGATGCAAGTTTTCACCTGTAATACACCACTTCAATTGCATACTGAATGTCGAAAACTAACAAAATTAGAATGCTCACCTGAAAATACATGATATTAAGCAGCTTGTTCACTTCAGGACCTAATACTTCAACAGTCTTTTCATAGATTTCCACCCAGTTCGGCTGCTCATTGAACTTTGATTGCGGTATGGCTCCAGAGCAACATTGCCACGTGTACAGCATGACCGCATGTTCCAAGCCATCTTCCAACAGTTCATTCTGGAGCATTACAAATGGATATTTTACAGGAGTAGTAGATTGACAAATTCAAATTCACAACATGGCAAAGCTCTGAATTTTTAAAATGACCAAAACCGGTGTCGGATTAAGCCTCAATGAAAAAACCTATTGACTGTTTTCAGTGCATATACCATAAAGGTTCAAAAGGTTCAAAAATGGGTACATTTACATTTAAAGGTCGATCTGCAACGGATTCCTTGGATAGTTTTAAATCTTTAAAATTGACATCAAGGTTCAAATGACCGTCCATCAAAGACATATATGAATATCTGACTTTTTTCTAAAATAGATGCCTCTACCTATTTTCAAAATGTCTGCTTCAAGTTGAAAACACTTGCATAGAACTAACTTTTTGGATATGATGTTTCTAATCCTGCCGTAGCTCTGTAATGATTTAGGTAAGAGTGAAAGATTCATATCATTTTTTCTGAGTACCGATTGAAGCATGTTATCAGTAGTTCTTGATATTATTCATTCACTGCTAAAAACTTATGATTTCCTCTCATTTATCTCAAAATTATCTTGAAAAAGCAAGATTTTTCAAAAAATCATAAATTCTCATTTATCATCCATTCAATTAAACAGATTAAGGGTGGTCAAGTAGCAGGAATGTGAAACTTCCTAAACTGGCGTGAACAGTGGCTTCTTCAATGTACTTTGCTATGCCAGTGACGAACCCATTCCGGTCTTCGAAGTTGGTATCAAAGTTAGCTTGATAAATGAGAGAGCATGGCTAAGCTTCGATAAGCGGTAGTTAATCAGGTAATGTAAGCTCACCTAAGGCGTCAACGTTGGATAAGGCATCAGTTAATGTTCCCCTAGCTGCTGCCATTTTGAGACGTTGACTCCTTTGAGCAAAATACCATCAAAGACATAAAAATGTGACTTGGCAAGTAAGCATTGTTGTACATGGAACTTAGAGAAATGAATGGTTTTGAAAACATACCCACTCTGTTCAAATAAAAACGGAGAATACAGTGTAAACTGAAAATATATATTCTTGAGTATCGCACAATTGAATACCAGAGAAGGTTGACAGTGGAGAGTAGATAAAATTGGTCAAATAACTTTGTGCCCTCAAGAGGTAGGACAAACTTGTATAAAACTATCAGAGGCAATGCTGCTAACTTGAGGTAGAAGTGGCGTCAGCTATGTTGGCACTTGAATACATATCGTTCGCGAGCAACTAAAATGTAGTCGTCCATCAGGAATCGATGATTGACAAAGCTCACTATCGGACTGCTGTCAATCCTCTATTGCTGCTCGACAATTGCATAGCAATTGCTTGCAAGTGGAATGTAAACAAGTGCCAACTTAGCTGACGACACCTCTAGAGAGCAGAGTAAACAGGTAATAGCAAAAAATGTAGACTATGCAACAATGGAAATATAACAGAAGAGTGGAAGAATAAGTCAGTTGTGCTGGTCTCAGAATCGTATTATGATACTTCATTCTTGCAGATCAACTAAAAATGATAAGATCTGGCCAAACAGCAAATTTCTACGTTGATTATTAACCGAGGTATCTCACATAGAAAAACTCGACTCATGACATCATCCACCAGAGACTAATCGATTTTTTGCTGACTACTTTTACTTGTGTAAACAGTCAATAGCAGATCATTTAGCCAGTCGTACAGTGCGGAGAATGATACAGTAAGATTACTGCTGAAGTTGCTACCTCAGACAGGAGTTTAACTCCTCTCAAATAAAGTTTACAAAGATACAAAGAATATGGCAAAATGCTTTAGTTCTTTTTGAATTAATTTAAGGTCTCTACATACCCATTCTGATCAATTAAAAACGGAGAGTACACTGTGAACCGAAAATAAATATTCTTGAGTGTTGCACAAGTCAATACCAGAGAAGGTTGACGGTGGAGAGTAGATAAAATTAGTCAAATAACTTTATGCCTTCAAGAGAAAGGACAAACTTGTGTAAAACTATCAGAAGTAATACTGCTAACTTGAGGTAGAGGTGTCGTCAGCTAAGTTGGCACTTGAATACATAGCATTCGCAAGCAACTACAATGTAGTAGTCCAACAGAAATCAAGGATTGACTAAGCTCACGATCAGGCTGCCGTCAATCCCCTATAGCTGTTGGACAATTGCATCTCAATAGACGCTATTAGTGGCACGTCACAAAAAAGCGTTATACATATCGATTTATTCGCATTATAGTAGCATTGAAAGAGGTTACGCCAATGTTATTGTATGGATCCAATTCGATACAATGGAGAATCCCTATGATGACTTCACTACTAATATCATCTATTGCTTACAAGTGGAATGTAAACAAGTGCCAACTTAGCTGACGACACCTCTTGAGAGCAGAGTAAACAGGTAATTGTGAAAAATTTAGGGTTGAAACAATGGAAATATAACATATAACATAAAAGTGGAAGGATGGGGCAGTCTTGCTGGTCTCAGAATCGTGTAACGATACTTTATTCTTGCAGATCAACTAAAAATTATAAGATCTGGCCAAACAGCAAATTTCTATGTTGAATATTAACCGAGGTATCTCGCCTTTAGAAACTTGACTTATAAAGTCATCCACCATGGTAGGAAATATCATGTTATGCACTTCCGCAGTGGATGACGCCACAAGTCAAGTTTGTCAAGGCGAGATATCTCGGTTAATAATCAAGGTACCTAGAGAGTTGCTGTTGGGACAGATCTGTTTACTTAATGCTGATCTACTAGAACCACGCATCAAAACATGATTCTGTTAACAGCGCAACTGGCCCATTGAATAAAGGAAGAAAAATGATCATGGGAAACAAAGGCTAAGCTATCGATTCGCACGGAAGAGATGGTCTAGGTGAGCTTTCAAAATGATGAAATTGGCCTCTTTATCAGAGCATGACTACATGCAGACAAACTAACTCTTTCCTTTAGAGATTAAACGACATGAAAGTGAAAGAAGGAAAGAGTTACAGGACATACGGGGAATGAGGAAATTACAATTCTTGAAGAGGAAATTCAGGCGGGATATACCTCCGCAATGGAGTCTGAACTAGGATGATCATTAGTATTCACAGTTCTTGCTATTTGCAGGGGATTGGGAAAGAAAAACCTGTAAAAAACTCTTCGCTGTGCTCAGAAGTTCCTTCTTTAAAGGTAGCTTCAGT